ATATGCATGGAACAAGTGCAACATTTTACAGAATTTTAATTAGTTTAAATTATTTATGTTTACATTGCCAACCAGCTTAATCTTTAAACAGTCTATCAGCACCATGGTAACATCATTACAGCACTTTTGTCTGACAAAAATAAATATATATTTAATTTACACTGATGTAAAACACAGAAAATCCTCACATTTCAGGCGTCGTCAGTGACCGTTCTGGGCTCTGCTGCTTAATAATGAACTTAAAGAAATGATTATTTATTTAAAAATGTTTTTTTAATTATTTTTCTTTCAATTCTTTCTACACACACATGCACACTCAAAGTGTGCATGTGTGTGAAGATGAGGGGGGGGGGGAAGGAGGACTCTTTGCAACTCATCTATGTATGATGGCACAGTTGCACTCTGACTAATGGGGAAACTCTTTATGTATATGAGTCACATTAATAACAACACGGAGTGGACAGTGTGGACATTAATAACAGTGTACAGTTGCAGAGAGCATATAGCGCAGTACATATACTAGAACAGCCACATCAATAATAACTCATAATCTCCAACTAGAACATGAATCATCATGCCATGTGGACACTGGAAGTCACACAGGCAAACCCTGTGTTCATGTAAACACCTAAAAATAGAAAATCACAGTCATTTGCCGCAAAAGGCTAAAATTGTCCCAGTGTGTCTCTCTCAGTTCAGCAGACTATTAGAAACCATTAGCTTTAAGGGGAAATGAATAGCTCATGCACACTGTATTGTTTTTGTTATTTACCTGCTTCTCCACATGCTGGGTGATGCACGGTGGGGCTAGTTAATGAGGCCAATAATGTAGCAGTGTGTGCCTAATGAGAGAAGATGAGCCCAGGTTCCATACAATTCACATTTAATTTTTGTGTATCTGTGTGTAAACATTATTACATTCCTGAACCAGGACTGTTGAATCCACAATTAACTACTTCACAGAAAACCTGCTACGTCCGGCGTCACGTATTTGTGTGCTGAAAAAGCCTTTAAAAATCATCAGCGCACAGACTGCGCTGTCGGCACACTACCGATATCCTACTCAAACTGCACTTGACATTTTGCTGTTTTTTTTTTAACATATATGATAGAAGTGTATCCCATGTTGCACAGAGCCAGAGAGCTGATGAGACCGCTTAGACGACGCCTGTGATGTCCACCTGCTGTGAGAGACAATAACCAGATGTGAAGAGGAGAGTTTGACACATGCAAGTCTGCTCATTGTGGCTAATTACCAGGCTGAAGCATCTTTCTGTCAGCCACAGAGCCACACAGAAAGGGTGCTACAGTACACGCTGCTTTTTTTTCCCCCCCCTAATCAAATTCATCCACCCGGGTGAAGCCGAAACTCGTGTTTACTTGTGCTGGATTCTCAAAAATCTTCACCGCCATCTGAGTTCAAACAGCAGAAATAGACTGAAGAAAAACAACAAAGCAACCTCACTTATATCAGGATGCCCTGTCTGTCTTGATATAACAAACTCACTTGTTGAGGGCCTGCTTCTTCACGATCAACCTGGAATATTTTTTTAGCTTATCAAATCCCCGCACTAACCAACAGTTATAGCAGCTATCTGCTTCCTGAGCAGGTAAGTGAATTGAAAGGGTTGTAAAAGTCTGATTAACTCAGGGCTGGGGAGCTGGGTAGTCAGATAGTGGATGGGGAAATGGCGACCGAGACCGTTCTGTCAGATGTTCCTCTTTGCAAATATGCCACCGTGTTTCTGTGATGTGGAAGCTTATTATCTTATTAAGCATTCTTTTATTTCCCCCTATAAAACACTGGCAAAGGGAAGCGTGGAGCTCTTCTTGCTTCTCCTTGTAATAGCTTCTCACGGCTCCTCATTCTATTACAAAAGATACAACGGTTAGTTAAGACCCCACGAAACATTTCATTTTCTTTCCCTCTAATTAAATGTGTCTCAGATGAGCCCACTGAGCCCACTTGTCGGGTTGTCCTCCATTTGGAGTGCCACCAGAGTTTAATATATGGCATTAAACAGGGATTGAGGATGAAAATGAAGCCTACCTCCCATTGGGAATGTAATGGATGATTAGAAGACATAATCTTAGTAATACAGAAATCCTTTAGTTTCTGTCATTTTATTTAAGTTACTGTCTTTTAAATGTGGTAATGACTTTGGCTATTTTTGGCACAGTTAAAATTTCAACACTGAGGTTATAAAATTCATATTTTGAAAATGCATAGAGTGCATGTAATGAGTTTCTCCCCCCCAAATTTCTCATTTAAATGAATATACTGCAGGGGTTTTGTACATGGTTTTTCTATGTGTTGTGTGAAAATGATGTTTTTGCATGATATTTTGGAGACACAACTAGCCTCGTCTTCTCCAAATAGGTACAGCTGAGCAAGCATATAAGCAAACCATTTCTACTGTAGCAAAGCACGAAACAACCACATGAACATTATCTGTAAATGCAGAACGGGAAGGAACCTCAGAGGCAAACAAAAGGTTAACGTGCTGAAAATAAAAAGTGAGGTCTATTGCAACATGCACATAAGTCATACTGTAATGAGGATGTTTTAAATAGATGTAACAATTAGTAAAGTCACTGTACCAGTAAATCATAAGGAAGTCCTGGAGCACTGGCTATCAGTTACCCAGAATGCCTCAGTGTTCTCCTGGGGTTAAACTCTGAAAGGTCAGACGTTGTCTCATTTACAGTTTCTGTAGCTTCCAAATGTAGGCGACGGACAATTAACACGAAGCTGGGTTGTAAACGTTAGGCTGCGACAATGGCATTTGTAACACACACAAAAATGTTTTGTAAAAGCCTCCGAGAGTTCAATGTTTCATTCTTTAATGTATTTAAAGCTATTGATGAGGTTTAAGCATTTCATGCTCTCAGTGGGACACTTAAACTTTGACTGGAAGGAGACACTTGTGTTCATTTTATCTGCACTTAATTCATTTGGAGAAACATTTCTAGTAGGAGCCAATCCTGTAGTGTGTTTTTATTATTCTATAGTCAAACATGGGATTACGGTATAACGTTTAAATTCATGTGCTCTTAACTTTCCTCTCCACTTACACTGTGTGCAAAGCAATCTTTTATGATATACACTTATGTGGACCCCCTGTATTGTGTGTGTGTGATGTAACAAAGACGGCAGTAAACTTCGTGTGTATGAAACTCCAAAGGGAGGCAGAAAGTGATGCACACAGGACTATTAGCCCTCAGTAATGCAGTTGATGCATTGGCTCTAGTCTTCTTGTTAACCCTTGAGACTCCAGGCAGATAAATCCTGGTTTAAGAGATCTGGCAAACCCAGAGCTCACGCAGCAACTTGTGTCTACTGTTGCATCAACTACAGATCTGCCCAGACTCGTATATGACTGGAGCAGCTCTCTGTAACCACACATATTTTGAGCATTCAAGCTTATCTTAAATGCAAAATTCTAATTTTTATTCACTGCCTCATTTTGAACTTTCTTACAACCCTTGATTGTAAGATCGTTTTCTACATAGCTACTATTCTATAGGACACTGAGAGGGTGTAATGCCATTACAGTGGTTCAAAGACCTAAAAATGGCTTCACCTTAAACATAAAAGCAAATATTCATTGTTGTTAATTTAATGTTTGCTTCCTGTACGGTCCTGCCAGTCTGAAATTTACACTCAAGCAGCAAAAGCATGTAGCAGCATCAGATGGGACATCTCATCTAGCTAATATTTATTCAAAAGCATCAGAAGGGCCCCTGATGTGTGCTGTAATGAATAAAACACGATGTTTATCCTTCCTGTTTAACGTTAAGTCCCCATGAACAGTCACGGGGACCAAGAGAATATTTACTTGTGTTGGGACACCGGGGAGTTGGATTATCTGCTGGCGGCTTTGTAGTTTTCTGAAGTTTCCCCGTGTGACATGTTCCAGGGAGAGTGCTCTTATTTACTCTCCGGTCCTGTGTGTATAGCCCTGCTCATTGTTTGTTCTTATGTGCCACCACTCCTGAGGACTGCGCTTCAGGAGAGAAAGAGGCGTACAAGGAGATAGAGAAAGGCCCGCTAATGCTGTGATCATTACATGGGAGGACACAGATGAAGATGTTGTCATTGCAGACTGTTTCACAAGAAAAGGATTTGATATTGACTTGCATTTAGTGTAAATGCTTTATCGCTTGACATGTATAAGAAAATGGGTTTACACCGCCTGATAAGAGTCGCCTGCAGTATCTTTTTGCGCCGAATGGTGGCGACATTGGGTTTCCAAACAGTGTAGACGAGCCAGACCCGTGCCGTGCTCTTTTCAAACTGTTTCGCCTTCTTACTCAACCTCCCGATTCGTGTCATCTATTTCTGCGATTAGACTAAGAAAAGAGTGTGAACAATTAACGTGACGCTCATTTTGCAAATGTTTTTTTTTTCCATACAATTACTTTGTGTTTGAGCTGAGAGTTAAAACGGTAGGTAGTGTGTAAGAAGAGTTGGAGATTTATTCGCTTATTAACAAGAAACCTGTGAAATAAATGGGATAAATAACTAATTCAAAAGTCTATACAAGGTTTTACATGCGGCCAGGGTCAAGAAGGTTTGTCTAATTAGTGTTTAAGAAGAGAGGCTGTAATAAATCTGACATAATTCGACTTGAAATATTTAAGTTGGTTAAGTGAAAAAATGAAAAAATAACTTAAATGTCAAAAATGCGCTACAGACCAGTTTAATTTATCGTTAAACTCTTAAGCGTAATTTGTTTTCTTTTGCTTGCTTTATTTTCATACGCATGCTAGAAAAAAACATTAAAATGAATATCAGGTTTCGTGTGTAAATTTGTGTATGGACTTGGACGGTCCGAAAACTTCGTTTCTTTACTATTATGCTAATTACGTCCCGGGATCGCGCTGCTCATTGGCTGAGTCTCAGTCAATTTCATATTTCAGTCCTGACGTCAGGGCGCCTATAAAACTAAGCAATGCTTTTTAACTCGTCGGCTGACTGATCCCTTAGAAAAAAAAAATCTATCAATCCTTGGGTGGAGTTTTTTCCCCCGTCTCCACAAGGCAACTATTTGCCCGGGACACGAACGTGAACCTCCTCAAATTGGCGCACTAATCCTAAAAGGAGCCATGAAGTGTTAAACGGTAGAAACGGAGAGAGCGGCGCTCAGATACCCGCACGCTGGGAGAGAGGGAGGAAACAGCGCTGCTCCAATGCGTCTGTGCAACACAGACTGAAGAGAGAGAGAGAAAAAAAAACTTATCGACTCACAAAACCTGAACCTGCGCTGCGCAATTAGTGCGAGAAAATTCACTTTTTCCTCCGGTTTTGAAGAAAATAAATAAAGAAATCAAGCTGGCTCAGTGCGTGTCTCAGCAGCCCACTTTGACAGGTGCTCCTCACCCCCTTTGGAGGACTGTCAACAGCAAGAGGATGGCATCAGAGCTGGCAATGAGCAACTCCGACCTGCCCACCAGTCCCCTGGCCATGGAATATGTTAATGACTTCGATCTGATGAAGTTTGAAGTGAAAAAGGAGCCGGTGGAGCCCGATCGCAGCATCAACCAGTGCAGCCGCCTGGTCGCCGGGGGATCCCTATCTTCCACCCCGATGAGCACGCCTTGCAGCTCGGTTCCCCCTTCTCCAAGCTTCTCGGCGCCCAGTCCGGGATCAGGGAGCGAACAGAAGGCGCACTTGGAGGATTTCTACTGGATGACCGGGTACCAACAGCAGTTGAACCCCGAAGCTCTGGGTTTTAGCCCGGAGGACGCCGTAGAGGCGCTGATCAGCAGCAGTCATCAGCTCCAGACCTTCGATGGCTATGCCAGAGGGCAGCAGTTCGGCGGCGCAGCCGGCGCGGGGGGCGCAATGGCCGGGGAGGAGATGGGATCAGCGGCCGCAGTGGTGTCCGCGGTTATCGCTGCAGCCGCAGCTCAGAACGGGGCTCCCCACCACCACCACCATCATCACCACCACCACCACACAGGGGCACACCACCCCTCCTCCGGGTCTCAGTCCAGCGGCGGCCCGGGGGGAAACCACCAACACCTGCGCTTGGAAGACCGGTTCACGGACGAGCAGCTGGTGACCATGTCGGTGCGGGAACTGAACCGGCAGCTGCGGGGGGTCAGCAAGGAAGAGGTGATCCGTCTGAAACAGAAGAGGAGGACGCTAAAGAACAGAGGCTATGCCCAGTCCTGTCGGTACAAGCGGGTCCAGCAGCGGCACGTTCTGGAGGGAGAGAAGACGCAACTCATGCAGCAGGTGGACCACCTCAAGCAGGAGATCTCCCGGCTGGCCAGGGAGAGGGACGCCTACAAGGAGAAATACGAGAAGCTGATCAGCACCGGCTTCAGAGAAAACGGAGGATCCAGCAGCGACAACAACCCTTCTTCCCCGGAGTTTTTCATGTGAGTCCCGGCGCTGAAAAGTTTTAATAAGCGAACCTCACCAAAAAAAAAAAAAAAAAAGAAAAGAAAAAGAGTTTGCGCGCAGCTAAAATAGGTTTTGTGTGATTGTGTTGAAGCTGCTTTTAGTTAAAGACTAAACCAGTTTTTCCCAATTTGTGTCATTTTAAAAGTATATTGTTTCAGAAACCCAGATTTGTTTTGTTTTGTTTGTTTTTTACTTTCTAAAGAATACAAATTAGGAAAGGACTCTGGTTAAAAATACAGTACCCATACATTTTTTAAAAGGATTTTTCTCCACTTTGTGATGTTTGCCTTTATAGACACTGCATAAACTTACCATCCTGCTGCGACCCATCGCATAGCCTTCCTCCTGCGCCTCATCCATCCTGTTCCCTTTAAACCCATATTTGTTTTGTGAATTAAAACAAAGAACTTTTCAGACTCAACAGCTTTATTTGATGTGATTTTGATTTTGTTTGGTTGTTTAAAGTCACTCTGTTTTAATATGCTTTACTTCATTTCATGTCATTCATCCTGTCTGGTGAAAAATATCCAAACTGCGCCAAAGTTTGGAGAGACTTGTGTGAGTTAAATGAAGCCATGCATGCTGGTCATGTACGGATTGTTTGTTTGTTTTTTCTTCTTTTTCTGTTTTTGTTTTTTTGTTTTTTTATTCTACCTTTTTGTGAACTTGTGTATAATTGTATTATACCGTGACTGCATTGCTCAGTTTCACTATCATTTTGATTTTTTTTAATATGTAAAACAAGTGAACAGGGCTATTTATGCGCCTCTTTTCTTTAATGAAAGTTCACCGCGTTTTCGACCCTTTCAACATTTTATTGGCTTCTTTTGGAGCCTTGTGTGTGGGGGGGGGAGTGAAAGGGGACTTCATGTAAAGCAACAATGTGCTCAGTATTGATTTTTTCTGTTAGGCAATATGGCATCAAGATGAGCAGCATCTGCATATTTATTATAAACAATAATTATAACATTTCCAACACTAGCACTAAAATTATTGCGATCAACAAGTGGAGCTGAAGATAAAAACAAAGCAGATTTCCTGAAAATATGTGGAGGACGAGCTACTTTATGCAACAAATGATCTTTGTCTTGTAGAAGTTCACTGTTCATGTGTTTTCCTTTCATTTAAGGAGGCTGATTAAGTTCACTCGGAGCCCTATGGGTCTTTTTTCCTCTTTATTTTCTGATAAACACACTGTGAACTGTTTGGAAATTGAAGTTTAAGGTTCCCCCGGTGTTGCAGAATATTTAAGGAAAAGCATCAAGCAGCCATTCGTCTTTTTGTGACGCCCTGATTATCTGTTCTGTTAGAAACTGAACAGGACAGGTAAAAGGCACACGCCCTGTTCACTTTAAAAAGCTGAATCTAATGTTACCATTCGTCAATAAACCTCCATGAATGGAAACAAATGCACCTTCCTGATGATGTTCGTTTTTCTTCTGTTCAGTTTTACTGCTTGTTTGTCTCTGTGTCTTTGAGGCGACGCCACACACTGAGGCTTGTAACGAATCCGAATTTCCTCTGCGGGATTGCAATAACAAAAGCATCTCTTTCATAAACGTGTTGTTTGCTTGGAAGCCGTGTAATTATCGCAGCTCCCAAACATCAAGTAGACTGCGTATATTCCAACTTTGTGATCTGGTTCAGTTTATCCATGTGTTTTCCTCTAAATGCGGTTTTATCTTTTTTAATTTTTATTATTTTTAAATTATCTTGGCAAATAATTTTAAGGGGTTTCTTTTAATGGCTTTTGCTTTTTTTTTTTTGCTTTTTTTCTTTGCTTTTTTTCTTTTCTTTTTTTTAGAAAAAAATGACGGCCTTCACCTGTTGCGTATTTAAAGACAAAATCTTCTTGTTCTTTTTAAGCGTGTGTGAAAATGAAAAAATAGCGCTCAGTTTTTCTTATATAATTTTTCGTTTTTCGCCCTGTGGCCTGATATCTGTGCTGCAGGTCACCTGCAAACGCTCAGTTAATGATTGATTTTAGAGTAAACTTGCACTTTTCACTCGGTACATGTGCACTTGTTGAACATTGCCTGTGGAAGGGTTTTAATTCAGATCGACCGCAGATAAAGCGCTGCGTGGCAAACGTGATGCATTTAGTCGTGTGTGCAGGCAAATGTGCGATTGAACACAAACATGTCGCAATTTTTTTCTCTGACGTGTCATTTGCCAGTCCACAATAATTCCGCAGTTTTGCATATTTTTTCTTTTCTTTTTGGAAATCAAATCACGCCTCATATTTTTAACCAAACAATTTTTTTTTTGAAATGCCTCACTTTCATTTCTCTGAAAAAAAAATCCTTCGACTTATGACATAAAAATGCTGAAAAGATTGAATTAAAGGCACAGGAGACACCCGGGGGGTAATTTGATTTGCTAGCGAGTGACAGGTCTTGTAGCCCTCCAACCTGCCGGCAAATGTGGCCTGGGACGCCTTTCCTTCCCGATGAAGTCGGTGCATCCCTAAGAGGAGTATGGCTGCTATAAAAGCTGCATGGGGTCTGGTTCAGGCTCCCATACAAGGTCACTACAATGCATGCTGCTGGAAATCTTTGTGGTTGTGTGTGTGTGCATGTGTGTGTGTGTGTGTTTGCGCATGGGTGTATGTAGAGAAGTGCTACTGGGTTGTCCCTCTGAGGGACCTTTTGACAGAGTGTGTGCAGACTAGGAAAAGTGTCCATCTCGTGGAAACCTTAAAATGCACCACAGTGGTGAATGTTTCAGTGTCGGGCTGAAAACAAAGACTGTGGACTGTGTATTTGGTTCTAAGTCTCACTTGTACAACAGTGACACTGTCACCTGGCTCATATGGATTCCATGAAAGCCTGGAGTGAGGGACAAGATGGCAAAGCATGATCCACTCATGCCTGAAGGAAGGATTTTCTCTGTGATTAAAAGAGAGTGAGAGACAGGGATGGGGCCCAAGGAGGAGAGAGAGAGAGAGAGAGAGAGCAATACAGAGGAGAGGGAGGAGAGAGAGAGAGAGAGAGAGAGATATGCTGGCTGCCTTCCTGCTCCTTTCAAATGATAAACGATCAGAGATGCATCCTAGCTGAGAGGAGACGGCCTTTTAGTGAGCATGTGTCCACTAATTTATGGCCCTCCTATCTGATTAGGTCAATATAGTGTGCTATTTAATTACATTTGTGTTATAACCTAGAACTGGAGATACTATACTTCTTTCATGTCACCCCTTTCTTATGTGAGCCTGATAGGATTAGCGAGGTTTCCTCTGGACTTTGCTCAGGACGGCTCTACCTGTTTGTACAACAACAGTTTTGTGAATTTGTTAAGTAGCAGATCGAGGGCCGCTTTTGTGTCACGGTTCGCAGGCTTCTAGGGTTTGTGCTCCGGCATCAATGCGTAACAAGGATAAAACGGAAAATTGCTGATCGTTGTAGGGCTGTGGAAATTGTGTGGGATGCCGGTTGTTTGTGGGTGTGTTTTGACCTCTAGACACACCGAGGGGCTGCGGGATTTAGTAGTACTGATTCACTTCCTGTTTTGGAGGAGGACAGAATGCACAGGAAACAACAATTCAGGGCTTCCTTCTCACTTCTCAGCAGCCGTAATCACTGCTTCTTTCGCTGTGTTTTGCTTCCTCTGTTATTTGCACAGCATGAAAAAGTGTGTACACGCACCATATAGACACTCCACGTTATTAATCTTATCAGTATGAACTGTAATTCTGTTCTCTGGCCCAGCATATTGACTTCTTCACTGTGATCATTTGCAGTCTGTCCAATGATTAGGTTATTAAAGATAATGTAGTTGTCTGCTGTCACAATATTGGACTCTCTTTCAGGTCAACTATGGGAAATCACTCTGAAATTTATCAGTATTGACATTTAAATCATCATCATGTACTTTGCTTTAATGTCTCAGAATTAATAGGACAAAAGGATATGCACAGTGGTTAGTGTCTGTTCGTGTGAGTGCTCAATAACCTGCCTGCATTGTCTTTTATGTGACCTTGTTGCGGAAGCGTGTATGTATGCTTTAAGGGAGGGTGGTAAATCTGTAAGAATGAGTCGTTGTGTCATGAAATTCAGATATTTGTAGTCTTCATTGTGTAATGCTAAAAATAAGAAGCTATGCATTTAATCTTTTTTTGTAGTAAAATAAAATTGCAATTAATTTAAGAACAACACAGTTAAAGTTCAAGCCCTTGCAGTAGATCTTTACAGTTGTACCTGTGTTTGTTTTTCATAATGTAAAAATATATGTTATCATTTCATTCAGAGCTATCACCAACCACTGACTTAAAACAAACAAAAAAGCTGCTCTTTTACTAAAATAATGTTAGGATTGCATGTCTCTGCATGTCTCATTCATTCAGCACAGCAACACGGCAGTTTTTACGTGTGCACGTTCATTCTCTGTCATTCCCCTGCGAACGCTTCCTTCCCAAGCGTGGCAAACCCCTGAAAAGGGTTAAAAACATTTTCGCATTCACAAGAGGAAACAATTTCAATCTCTCCTACTCATTCCGCATCTGCATCACTCCACACGATAAACATTTACATTTAAAGTGATTTAAATCGGCTGCCTTTATGCTCCTCTGTGGTCCGTCCATCATCTAGACCCGCAGTGCCCGAGCTTCTCTTCCTCTCTCACCCTCTCGCAGTGTCCTGAGTTATGTCATTTATTTAAAAAGCTTAATAATTTAACTTGTCCGTCCTGTCACAGCTATGCATGTGGTAAAAAAGCAACGGCTGTAAAACGTTGGTGGTGTTTCCTGTGAATGTTTCTGATTGGCTTTGCATGCTTGTATTTTTTTCCACAGGCCAAATACAATCATGGGCAGAGTGACTGAAATGTGATTGTGTGGATCCAAATCTACAGTGTTGCGCGTTAAATTGAGACAGCTTTAAATGCAGAGATGCAAAAGAATGTGCTTATAGACACTGGAGTAGATTTGCATTTGCTTATGGAGGAAGCTGTCCTCAGAATGCATAACTAAAGGGCAATAGATGAAAGCTAATTATGATTTAATTATAGGGGATCACAATATTCTGACTTGCAGATAAACATAACTGAGGCTGTGTTGATGTTTTCAACAGTGAGTTGAGTTTCAGGGCACAGAGTCAGTGAAGTGGTGTGTTTTGGACCGCGGCGAACGTGGTTTCGGGGAGGGGGGGTGTTTGACAAGTGAGTGCATTATGCGACTGTGTGGGTGGGTGTGTGAGAAGCTGTCTGTGTGCATGTTTAGGTCTGGCTATGCATGAGTTTGTTTTATGCAGGGTGGAGCTGGAGCCGAGCCCGACCCCTGTGTGTTTTACCTGCATCTCAATGAAGCAAGAGGTGATTTACCCTTCTGCTGCAGCCACTTCTCTGTCTGTCTCTCTCTCCCTGTCAGTCCAGCAGACATTGATCTCTTTGCCAAGCAAGGTGACCGACAGTGTTTTCAGCTCTTCCAAACTCTCTGCTTTCCCTTTCATTTGTACCTGGGAAAGGCCTTGACCCCACACGTTGCCGCTATGTGTGTTGCCTTCTGCACATGGACCTCCCTTGTACAAAGCCCTGTTTGCATGTGTGTCAGTGCGTGTCTGTTTGAGTTGGAAAGTGGACGTGCATGTCGACGCTATGTGTCTACGTGTTTCTGACCCTGTGCCTAACCAGCTCTGTGTTTACTTTCATGAACAGGTGCATGCAGTTCTTTGCAGATTCACCCAGATGTACAGCAGTTTATTTAAACTGCTGTACATCTGGGAGTCTCTCCATACTTTGGTGCTTTTTAAGGTCTTCTCTGTGCTGCAGGTCTATAACTGGGAGCTGCTTCATACCCGAACGCGTCAGAGTTCATTTGGTGCCAGTGTGAATCGGATTACAGGGAAATGAATGGCTTTCATTGTTGCTTAAAGATGGATTGAGGGGCATTTAACATCCTTCTTTTGCCTCATTTCTCACTCTCAGAAGCAAAAAGGTTTTTTTTAGTTTTTTTTTAGTGTGATTCATTACTCAGGTTTCCTTTATTCACCCTCATCGCTGCCGTGTCTTCATATAATGTCCACAGGTGTGCAGATCATGCATGCATATGTTTGCAAAAATATGCAAATACCCTGCTGTGGGACACCTATAAACACTGATGAATGTAAGCATGACCTAATGTAGGATTTTATCGTTTATGATACATCTAATTATATTCTAATGAAATTATTTGCAAAAAAAGAAGCCTAAATTTGGATAGTTTTATGAAGAATGGAGTAGAAATTAAATTATAGGAGATTACAAAATAGTTTGAAAAATATTATAACAATGTGAACTGCAGTGATTTCCTTTTTGTATTAAACTGTTCTGTGCATACAGTTTTTTTTTTGTATATGTTATTAAAATAATTAAGTTACGTCTCATTGTCAGCATATTTGAATGCATCGGTCTGTATCCATGGTTTAGTAAACGAGCTGGAT